AGAGCTAACTTACTACCAACCCATCATCTCACCAATCCAGATCTACATCAATTCCAAACGCAATCGAAGCACACCCTAACTCTAATCAATTTCTTAGACAAAGGAAAAACTCCCAATTATCAACGAACAAACCAAAATGTGAAACTAATAGCAATCAAACTCAGCCACCGAGAAAAAAAAAAGAAAAAGAAAAATAGAACCCAACAAAGTACTAACTGGTCAGACGATGACGAGGGTTCTGAAGAGCCTCAACGAGAAAAGGGTCCACCTCAGAGACATACGCCGCCGCCGTCTCCGGCGGTGGCTGATTCACGCTAGCTTCAACAGGTGCTTGAGAAGTCAAATCCATACCTCCACAATCCACGGAATACAGAACAAACACATAAAGCAATAAACTGGTACAAAAGTACAATGGGTACAGATAATAATTATACGATAAAGAGGAAATTGAGAAAAGGGAGAAAACCCTTTTCTCAAATTTCCTTTTGGGTTATCCCCAGATGAAGAGAGTGGTGATGGGGCTCAGCTAGAAATTTGATTTGGATTTTATATGAAATAAATGGAAACCATTTTTGCTCCAGATATTTTCTCCCCTTTTTTCTTTGTCGAAAAACAAGAGAGAATTTTGTCGGGGAGGGATGACTGTTGAAAAGACCAAAAAGGGCACGCAGATATTGGATCGAGTCTTAGCTGAAGTGTGGTCTTTAGAAAATTGAGCCCAGCTCATTAACTTATATTTACTATTTGGGCCGATGAAGCTGAAATATTCTAAATGGGTCAAGTCCAATCATATAGATATCAAATGTTGTGCAAAGTTAGCAAGAAGCTACTTATGTTCATAATTTAAATTAGATTTCCATCTATGTACATGAAATCTTTAATGAAAATGTTGTCTTAATCACCCAATTCATATTAATTTCACACAAATTCCATCAATCTATAGTAGCTTGGCCTAGGATTTAGCTAAAGATGACTCTTAATAAATCATGAATTAACCAACATGTGATTTCAAACATATAATAAAATTAATATCGTTCACCCACTCATTACACGCACAAGAATTTCGATCTTACCCGATAAGGCCAGTATCCTCGACCATTTTTATTTTTAATAATCAAATCATGGATGCATATATAAGTATATTGATCCAATGATAAAAAAAATATTATAAGGGCACCGCCTTTATCAGTAGGCATAACTTTTCTGTTGGCATATTTAAATATGTCAATCAACCACGTATCAAGATATTGATATCTTTCAATTACATACTCGTAGTATAACATAATAATATTTTGTCAAGTCATTTGGTGAGTATATTTAACCTATTTGGGGTAGAGAAAAATACTTCTTTTAACTCATTTGGAGTATATTTTGCACATCAAGACAAAAGATGACAAAATACATAGTAGATAATGTGATATTTTAGCAAGATCCACAAAAGTGAACACATATATCCAAAATGATGGTTACAACGAAATTCCATAAGGTCTAAAAATCCCACTCATCTCCCTAAAGCTAAGTAGCACTCATTATTATTGAATTATTAAATTAAAAAGAGATGAAGGTTAAGTAGTGGAAGGTAAGCAACCCTAAAACTATGCAATAATTAATATAGCGACCCAAAATAAAATAAAGTTAAATAAAAGAGCTAAGGATAAGATTTAATAGAAAAATACAAGAGGCCGAGTTAAAGTTTTCGTAAATGAGCAATGAAGTTTCTGTCGTTTTGAAAAAANTTAACTAGGTCGATCCATCCTAATTTTTTTTTAATAAAAATATATATATATTAATACTAGCAAATGTCATATTTTTTTTCATATTATCATTTCAACTTAAAAGTTGTGTATTTGTTAAAAAATGTAGGATTGTCTAATTATAAAGTTTGTCTGATAACAATAGTTTTACTTTTGATTTTTTCATTATTGAAATAAGATAAGGTTTTATTAGCCTTACGAAGGTTGTTATATTAAATTGTAAAGTCATGATTTATTGATTTTGACCAAAAGAAATATCTTGTTCTAGTGAAGGATGCAACTCTAATCGTTTTTAATCTGCATTTATATATTTCAATACAACTAATCTAAATGGATTGTTATCTAACTTGAGGGCAATGTAGACACCCGGTTTATTTAATGTGGATCACATTACATATACTCATAATTATTCATGACATACAATATCCGTCGTGTATTACACAAATGTTATTTCAAAAATTTATACCTAAATTTAAAATATTATAAAAAATTTTGTATTTAATGTTAAATAATTTTTTAAAAAATATATGATTATTTCTATTTAAGATGACACCCTTCACATATACGACTTACTTATCTTATATTATAATATTTTCTTAAGTTATATTATATAACTACTTTGCAGTTAAATTTACTTGATTGATAAATAATTTTATTTTTTAATTAAAATTAATAGATAAATTAAGTTTAATTTGTAAAAATTGATATAATTTATTTATTTTATATATACAATATTGATGTCAAATCGAGCGTTTTTGTATTCGAGAAAGAGATATTTTTACCTCATTCCTACTTTTTTTTTTTCTAATTCAAGTTGTAAGAACTGAAAACCTCAATTCATAGGATCTTGTTGTAATTTACTCTCAATTTTGTAATATTTTGATTTATTACATTCATTTTACATATATTTAATTTAAATAATATGTGAATCATTTTGAATTATCTTCGTAGTAGTAAATTCAATTATGTATTTTCTAAAATATAACCAACACTGCAAGCAATATACCGGATTGAGTAATGATGCTACTTTTAATTGTATTCAAAATCGTACAAAATTTTAGTGATGACGAGCTTTATACTATAATCCCCATAATTTTTTTTCTTGTCATAATATCAATCAAAGGAAATTTATTTATGCACAAATCAAAACCATTCAAATCAATGAATTACATTCATTTTTCTTAATTGTTCAAATAAATAAGATCCATTATCAATTTCTCATTAAGGTAAAGAACCAAGCTAATTTAATTGTATTTCCTTCCCAAAATGATGGAATCAAATTGTCATTTCATATGACAACACATGCACTCATTCATTTAAAATCCACATTTTAATAATTTTTAAATTTAAAGTAATTTTAAAAATAGTTGATTTTAATTAAATCTTTATAAAATAAGTCCTAAAGTGAGTTTTATACGGAAATTTGACATGTGTAATTTGTGATAAAATTTCAACAAATATTAAAAAGTCTTAACAAAAATCCAATGTTAAATAAGTTAAAAAAATCTCATAAAATCTTAAAACTTTTAATAATCTCAATTGAGTAGTTTAAGACTTTTAAATTTTTTTAAAAAATCTAAATTAAATATATGATTGTACACAATCTCCCAATTAGCGCGTGTAATCGATTGTCACAGTTACACATCTAAAACCCCGTGAAACTATTTCTCCTCTGAAACCCAACGTCCTCTGCCCAATCTCACAAAAAAATTCCGTTGAGTTGAATCCTATGGCCGACTCACCGGAGGTCGCAGTTGATCGACCGCCACCTTCGCCGCCCTATCGAACCGGAAATTTCGATCCATGCCTCCACAACCCGCCTCTCGACGCCACTTTCTTCTCCGAGGACCTCTTGATCGGCGAAGGTGGTCCGAATGCCGACGACGAGAAAAACAGCATCGGGGTCCTCGAGGGCCTCGATTTCGATTTCTCCTTCGACGACCTCTGCCTCCCCATTTCCGACGACCTCGACCAACTCCTCGAACCCGCGCTAGCGCCGATTTCCCAATCTGGATCAGACCCTAATATCCCCCAATTGTCGCCGAATTTCGACCAGTTTCAGTCAGTTTTTAAATCTACATCTGAGGAATTGCGCCATCTTCTAGGGGACAACGAATTCCTGGGCGATCAGAACTGGGAGGGTTCCGGCGTTCTGAGCTCCTCTTCCCCAGAGATGGAATCTCAGCAGATTTCTGGCTATCTGAACATGCCGTCTCCGGAATCGAACGGATCGAATCGCGACAGCACTGAGAATTGCGGCAGCGACGCCGATGAGAAGGTGCTGAAATGCAATTCGCTGGAATCTGAGGGTTCCGGAAATTGCGGCGGTGGTGCCGATGAGAAGGTACTGGAATGCAATCCGCCAGAATCTGAGGATTCAGGGAATTTCATTTCAAATGTATCCGAAGATACTTGCGCCACCAGATCGGTAAGTTCTTCTCCCAATTCGAGTAATAGTTCAATTGGGGTTGGAGTCGTTGATCAGAAGATTAAATTAGAGGAGCCTGCTAACAATAACGGTAGTACCTCGCTGAAAAGGAAAAACGAGGGCGAGGATTTGGGGAATGATAGTATCGAGTCAAGGACTAACAAGTATAGGAAATCATCTAACTCTAGTTTAGAGAATCACAATACCAGTGGCAACAACAATGGAGTTCCAAGTGAGGAGGAAGAGAAAAGGAAGGCTAGGCTGCTGAGAAATCGAGAGAGTGCCCAATTATCGAGACAGAGGAAGAAACACTACGTGGAGGAGTTGGAGGACAAGGTGAAGACAATGCACTCAACCATTCAGGACCTGAATGCTAAAATCACCTTTTTCATGGCTGAAAACGCAACTCTCCGCCAGCAAATGGGCAGCCCGGCCACCGGAGCTCCGCCTCCTCCACCGATGGCCCCACCGCCTCCCGGAATGTACCCTCATCCAGCCATGATGTATCCATGGATGCCATGCCCCCCACCTTACATGGTGAAACCACAAGGTTCGCAAGTGCCTCTGGTGCCGATCCCAAGGCTGAAAAAGAAGCAACCAGCTCCAACACCAAAGACGAGCAATAAGGTGAACGGAAAGAAAAACGAGGCGCCAAAGACCAAGAGAGTTGCTAGTGTTAGTTTTCTTGGTCTGCTGTTTTTCATAATGTTGTTTGGAGGCCTGGTGCCGATTTTCAACACGAGGTACGGAGGGGTTAGGGAGGCTTTTACAGGAGGAGATGGTTATATCGGGAATGGGCTTCGTGGGAGAGTGTTGATGGTGAACGGGACTGAGTACGGTCAGCCGAGTGGAGGTGACCCTGGTGCCGGCGAATTTGTCCGGTCGGGAAATGGGAGTGAACCACTTGCGGCATCATTGTATGTGCCTAGGAATGATAAGTTGGTTAAGATAGATGGAAATCTGATTATCCACTCGGTTTTGGCAACCGAGAAAGCCATGTCGTCTCACGGGAAGGGAAGCAGTGAGACGGGTCTGGTAGTTTCTAGAGATTTACCTCATGCAAGACCTGTTCCAGGTGTGGGGATAAATGGTGCTAGGCATCCACAGTTGAGGGCTCTCGGTTCTGGTTCGGTCGACAATGATGGGAGCCTTCAGCAGTGGTTCCGTGAGGGCCTTGCAGGTAATCACAATTGTTCATATTTTTGCATCCTAATACAAAAAACAGCACGTTTTTTAATCATGATAGTTAGTTAAGGCACATCGTAGCAGAAAAATTGCCTGTCGTCGAAATGTAATGGACTTCACTCTTTGCAGGGCCAATGTTAAGCTCCGGCTTGTGCACCGAAGTCTTCCAATTTGACGTCTCGGCAGCCGGAGCCATAATCCCAGCTGGCCCTTCCACCACACGAAACGTGTCCAAAGTCCAGACTCAAAACTCGACAAACCCGACAAACAAGGCAAGAAACCGGAGGATCCTCCATCCGGTCCACCTCCCCGAACCCTCCCACCACAACATATCCACCGAGCAATCACATGCCGGTGAAAATCAAAATCCTAAGAAAGAAAACCTCAAAAACACATCCTCGATGGTGGTTTCGGTTCTGTTCGACCCTCGGGAGGCCGTGGATGCTGACGTGGACGGCGTTATGCGCACAAAGTCTCTCTCCCGGATTTTCGTTGTCGTGCTCATCGACAGCGTTAAGTACGTGACCTACTCGTGTATGCTCCCGTTTGCGGGGTCCGGGCCCCACCTGGTGACTGCTTGAAAAGGTCG